TAGGTAGGTAGGTAGGTAGGTAGGTAGGTAGGTAGGTAGGTAGGTAGAGATAGATAGATAGATAGATAGATAGATAGATAGATAGATAGATAGATAGATAGATAGGTAGGTAGATAGACAGGTAGATGATAGATAGAAGGTAGAGATAGGTGATAAAGAATTTTTAAAAAAACAACATAGAAGATAGTAAAGGGTCTCAGGTACTTCAGGTTGCCTACATCGCTAAAGAGCTTAAACACCTTATCATCTGCCTCCACTTCCCAAATGCTAGAATTGCAGGCATGCTTCACCATGCCCAGCTGAAAATGTGGCTTTATCAGGTTTCGTCAGGTTTAGTATTGGTTTGTGGAATTAATTTGGGGGGAGTTTCTTTCCTCTCTGTTTCACAGAATAGTTGGAGAAGCATTCATAGTGACTCTTCAAATGCCTGGTGAAATTTAACTGGATCCATCTGGTTCTAAGCTTTTATTGTTGGTTTTGTTCTTTAAAAATATAATGCTAGCATGTCCGCAGCCGCTAGTCCAGGCAGAGATGGCTAGAGCAGTGCAGGTTCCCCGCAGCGAGTGGCAGAGCTGGCGGGAGCGCATCCCGGACAGGCTGGTACCAGCCATATGGCCGGAAAGTCAGGCGGGCCAGTGACCAGGTGGCGGATAAAAGACTTACAGGACATAGTAAATAGACGTAAGGCTAAACATAAAGATGAACATTTATTACTTAAAGAAGAGGGAGAGAAAGAAAGGCAGAGATAGAAAAAGAGAGAGGGGGGAAAAACACGTGTGCACACGCCAAGAGGGGGAATAGAAGGGAGGGTTAAGATGGCGAGGGAGAGGTCAGAAGTGGCTGGGAGTGGGCGTGGCTTGCCCCTTAAAGGGACCAGACCAAAAGAATAACAGTAGGGAGACAAAATTATGTCTGTACTGTATTATACCTACCAAAATATAATAAACGATACACGCAAAAAGAATGTTATAGGTCTGGTGGTGCTTGTCTTTGATCCCAGTACTCAGTAGGTAGAGTCTGGTAGATCTCTGTGATCTCAAGACCAGTCTGGTCTATGAAGTGAGTTCTGGAACACTCATGGCTATGTAGAGAGACCCTGACTGAAAAAAAGAAAAAAAACTATAGAAGCTGGGCGGTGGTGGTGCCCACCTTTAATCCCAGCACTCGGGAGGTAGAGGCAGGCAGATCTCTGTGAATTTGAGGTCAGCCTAGTCTACAAGAGCTAGTTCCAGGACAGGCACCAAAGCTACAGAGAAACCCTGTTTCGAAAAAAAACTAAAAACAACTTTTAAAAAAAGCTATAAAGCAGTGTTGCTGATAAACATAAATACAAAAAATAATAATAAATAATTGCAAATAAAATTTAACAGTATATTTTAAAGATACATCATAATCAAGTTGGTTTTATTTTAGAAGTGCAAGGATGTTCAATATACAAATTAATAAGCATAATACAGCACAGAAATAGAATCAGTAATAAAAAAAAATTCCGTGATTGTCTGGGCATAATAGTGCTAACCTTAAAACTTGGGAGGTAGAAGCAGAAGGGTCGAAATTTTGAAGTTTCTCTGTTTCCTG